TGCAAGATCCGTAAGTTTTTCGACTTTAAATGCACGCTGAGTGGATAGGAAGCTTTCTAAGGCATCCATTTTTGCGGCGAGGGCTTCTTGGGCGGGAATGGAACTGTTGGAAATGGAGACACGAAGTGTTGTGGACGTACGGGCCCTCCATTTCGTCTAGGTTCCCAACACGATCTTGTTTGTATGTAAGAGGTTGGAGTAGGTAATATGGTAGCGCTTCAGGCTACCTATCAGAGACATGAGCGGCTGTATGGCGTGGGCGCAAGGAGGTTATTGGGGGTTTTTTATGCCTAGATGGCGCCACACTCGTTTATGCTGTGGCTTAGGCTCTGTGTCGCTTACACTTGTACTTGTAGCGCACATTTCCCACACTTTTAGCTTTAATCCAAACATGTCACCCTTTTAGTCAACTTCTACTTTCGTTCCATGAATATTGCGCCCATTTTATTGCGCAATATTTGCAACAGGAACACGAGCAGATTGCAAGCCCAGTCTTTTCATTTGAACTTCACGAATCAAATTTTCTTTCCAGAAGTCGTTGAGATGGAGTATAACTGCGTATGGTGACATACATAGTGCGGGGTATCCTTGAGGTACTCTAACTAGAAGACGGTTATTTTCCCTGGCTTCTCTGTGGTGGGCTATATTCGGTTGATTGGAAGTTTTTTTTTATTCATTTTGTATTCAGCTATTTAGCTATGGCAAGATTGTGAGGATATCTTGCCTACTGCCGTGTTTTTTGCTTTGAAACGATTTTGGCAGCAGCAGCAGCATAAGTGCGAGGGATCTGGGGCGTTGCCATGGCAGGAACTGCTACTGGGGCTCTTTGGCCGGCTGGGAAAGAGGTAGAAGCGGTAGTCGGCTGCGGCTGCGGCTGCGGCTGATTTGGTTAGTAAGGTGTGTATGCGGGGTAGTGCGCTTAAGGCCGGGGCGTGCCCCTGATATGACATTCGAAGTGTCGGCGTGCTACGGAATTTAAGTCCGCAATGAACTAGCAGGACGGTTTTAGGAGGTCTTGTGGGAGGTAATCCCCACTGGGGGCGTCGTCTAGGACGCATGTAATGTTTTGGAACAAGAGGGTGGCCTCTTGATTCCTCGTGTCGCCGGCGGAGGTGGTTGACAGTAGCATTTCCGTCAACGACTCCCTATAGACGGCTAAAGTAGACGGTCAGCGCACGAAGGCAATTCCATAAAACAATTAATATTCTTCTACGGCAGAGATAACTACATCTGGATTGTGCGGACACAAAGTGTGCCCTGACGACCAGTAGCGGGTAAGCCCGTAACATCCCCCTCCACTCGTTTGAGTGGAGCTAAGAAGAGGGGGTGGAGGGTGAGAAGGAGGACGAGGGGGGAGGGAATTCATGACGGTTGCTTAGAGGAGTAAATACTGATTTGCCAGAATGTGTGAACACGTCATGCTTCAATCCATAGATGCGTCTTGGCAAGCTTCCGGTCATTTAGATGGGACGAGGCACTTGTACTCTACGGTAGTCAACCTGATCCGGCCCGACCCCACTCGTGCTCAAGCTCCAGTAGGAGTGCGACGGGAGTCACTTTGCCTAGCACGTTAATGTGCAAACGAACAAACAGCTGTCCGCCACATCTATATCCAATTTAAATTTGGCAACTTCCCCTCTACCAGGGTCTTTAAATATAATTTACAAGTAATGCAAAATTTCTCACTTCAAATTCACTAGAGTACCGAGGCTAATCGATGTGCACGGGGCCAGTCACGTGGATATCGAATGGCCTGGCTGACATGGTCAGGGGTACACCCTGCTTATTATCCACCACTAATGCGTTCGCAATGGAATGATCCCCAGAGCCGGAGTTCCGCGCTCTTCCAGCCGCTCCATGGCCCGATTCCCCGTAGACTCTGACCAGTTGAGAGACGTCGCCAGCCTGGAGGGGAATGGAGACTAATCAACAGTCAGCAGTGCCGGCCGCAGACATGGGAACTAAGCCTTACCTCGGGCACAAGATTTGATTCTTCCCGACGAATGAGATCTAGATAGCTACGTGACGCACTGTCGATTTGAAAGAGTTGAGTGCATTCTGTTTTGGTGCTAGGCCAGCGTTACGGAGATTGCTAGAGCGAACATACCAATTGTTACGGGCTTGCCCGGTAGTAGTGACTGGGTTGACCTACGGGCCCAGCCTTGCACGTAGCTGGGGTTCGGCAAATATGTCTGCCTCTTGAATAAGGCACGGCACCAGGTAAGTGCTTATCTAAGCGGATCAACCGGACACACTTCAGGTTAGCTTTGTCCCACCGACACTTTTCTCTCATGTAGAACAATATAGATCATTCTGTGGCAGCCTTTGCATGCAGCGTCCGTGATTCTCGACCCTTTGACACCAGTCAAGTGCATCACATCTAGCCAACCACGACGGTCTCCGACTTGCCTCGGCGCCGCCGTCGCCCGATGGTGTTCCGAGTAGTCACTAGTAACGCTTCGTCGAGCAATCCCACCCATGAAACCCGTGCCTATCCCCCGTCCTACACTATTCTCGAGGATTGTGTATGCTAATCGTCCACAGGCTACAAGTGCGAGTAAATATGGGGTCGAGGTCTTCCACAAGAAGATATAGAGGGCACGTCGTGATCTGATAAGAGTACTGGTTCGAAGTGGTCTTCACAAGGAAGAGATGGAATTTCTAGAATGAGAATAATATTGAGAAGACGTTGCGTGAAGAAGGCACCTCGACTGTAGACTACGTCTTATTATCTACATGCTCGTAGTTCACTGTTACGCTACTTCTCCCTACTCAGGCCTGCAAGATTTGTATGCTGATAGTAAACCATCATTATAACCCCTATTATTATTCCGTGAAAACTATCGAGAAGGCTTACCGTCTGGGCCAGGGAGAAGATGCCGAGTTAACCCTTTCAAGACGGCTAAGAATGCAGCTCCGATGAAAGGACAAGTGCTAGGAATTCGAGACTGCGAATTTGAATTGAAGGGAGAAGTAGTGGGTGGAAGAATATTGCCCGAATAGAAGCCACATAGCGTCCTTTGGTCAATTCTTGCTGTGTCCATTGGGCGCTGGACAGTAGCCATGTTTGTTAAGGCTATACGGATGAATCCAACACAATTCAAGGGGACAATGTCAGAATGAAACCAAGTGCTGCACACTTTTCAGTCTGCCGCATGTGGGATCATTGATATAGCTCCATACAAGACTTGCGCTTGTGTATACTCGTGGAGCCCAGGAGCGGCCCAAATACCTACGACTCAGCTGGGCCGAGCGGACACTCCACATTACTTGGCATTCGGCAACGGGCAATTACCATGAAAGCCGTTGCGGGACCAACTTTATCCTCACCGCCTCTCTCTACTCCAGGCGCGCCATAAACAAGCGACGATCCTTACTAAGTCACATAGATGGCACATACGATACAGCACAATGTAGCAACTTTTGTTTATTCATTATTCCTTTTTGGGGCGTATCATTAGCTACATGTCCGACCTGATTTCTTCCTACAACCATCTCAGGTTCCTACCGGACTTTCCACACCATCCAATCCTCCGAGTTTCTTCTACCTGCAAGTGTAGCCTCCGTCGATGAGGAGATCGGCTCCTGTCGTATATGTGCTGGCGTCTGAGATAAGGTAGACATATGCGGCCTTGACTTCTTTTGAATGGGCAGGTCGGCCCATGGGGATCATATCATTCCATAACTTCTGAGTTTCGGCTCCAACAAAGTCGCTTAGACCAGTGTCGATATATCCGGGCGAGATGCTATTGACTCGCGCAAAATCTCTCCACTCATTAGCTAGCGAACGTGCCATGTGGATGCACCCGGCCTTGGCGACATTGTACGATGTTTGTTCTTGGGGAAAATTGGCAATGTGACCTGACATGGAGGAGGTGATGACAAAGGACCCCGTTTTCCGCTCTTTGAAATGTGCACCAACAGCTTTGGCGCAGTGGAAAACACCATTCAGATCTGTCTGGATAACCTCATTCCACTGCTCCACCGTTCCATCTAGCACTCCCGAGTCGGCTGTTCGTCCGGCATTGGCGACAAATCCGTCTATCTTGCCAAAGTCCTGAATGACGGAACTTACTAGTTGCTCAACTGATTTGTAGCAGCCAACGTCACACTTGTAAGCTTTCGCTGTTATGTTGTACTGATTCTGTAATTCGATTACGTTCTTTTCGGCTCCGTCAGGGCGAGATGAGTACGTGATGGCAACATTGGCTCCCATTTCTGCACAGCCACGAGCAGCTTCGATACCGATACCGCGTGGCCCTGAGGCGCCGGTGACGACGACTACCTTTCCTTTTAGGGAGAGCAGGTCAAGGAGCGAGGAGGCTGCTGGAACGGGAATAGGCATGGTGAAGATTTATGAGATAACTGAAGACGGTTTGTAGGTACGGGATGGCTTGGAGATGAGAGAAAGAGAATGTATGTTATAAACCTATTGGTATCATCAAGCAGCTGCCTGTATTTATACATAAGAGGCCCCCACTAGACGCGGGGTAGCTAGTGGTCATCGATTGGCCAGACTACACCACGAGGAATATGCACGAGTTCTCGTAAAATAGATCGTAGTTGTGCAGTCATATCTAATTGGACATATTTTTAAAGTAACCATCTCCACTAAATGCCAGGTCGGGGCCGACTGCGAGCCCATTTGTCGGGCCCCACAGGTCACCGCTAATCTAATCTTTCTGGCTTCCCACTGGGGTCAGCTTAACTGTGGCTCCATGTAAGCACATTGGGTCTTCCCATGCCTCTTCCTCGAGTGGGCCGCTGTCAAAGTCTAAGTGAGACAATCACGTGTCCAGAAGCCGGCAGATGTTGGGAACGGTGAGGGGATAAATACTCGTTTACTTGTCTGTGCAACAGTGTGGGGTTGGTGGGAAGCCGATAGGTGCGGGGATACTTCAAATACGGGAAGATGCAGGGCAAGACAAAGGTCCGCGTTAGCTCCCAACATTCATGATTGGTGGTCTCTCGTGACACTACCTGGCCAGGACACTGGCGGCTCAAGCAATCCCGAGCGACGCTATTTCTCCTTGTTCGCTGACTGGTCGAGATCCAATCGTGTAGCTTGTCTTCCAGCGCAAACGTACCGCATCGCCTTTCCCATGCTCAACACCCAGCAGTTTAATTACCTGCGTGACTCCATCTCGTTCATGTGGCTTTAGCTGTCGACCACTTTGAGGTTGTAACTTAAGTTGGTATCCCTGAGAATTTTAGCGGTTATTTAACTTTCAAGGGGAGATAGCAACGGGAAAAGTAGATTCGCTTCAACGCCAATACAAATTTACATACCTTTGTCACGGCTGCCATGAAGGTTAGTTCGGAAATGACTTCATTCCCAGTATTAGAAAAGGATAGAGACATGGTAATTTCACCAGGAGAGGATGATAATCGTGTTGCATGCAGGGAGATACCTAGTGTCTTCTGACTGATCTGTATGGTAGTAGAAGATGGTGGTCCCTCAGGTAATGCTGAGGAAAAGGCCCATTCTTCATCATCTGCCGCGGCCACGGAGGGTTTTTGGATAGTCTCTCGCTGAGCAAAATCAAACATTGAGGGTGTCGTAGGAAGTGGCGTTGATTGTGGCGATGTCAAAGCAATATTTCGAGTATATGGTGTCAGAACTTTTGCATCAGGCAATGACTGCTGTACCTGAGGTGTACTTTGCTGAAATAGAGCCAACTGAGGAGTTGAAGACCGAGAAGGTGCATATGAGGATCCAAAAGCCGAGAAAGAAGAATAATCTGGCATGGGGCTTTGCTGATTTAATGAAAGGGAAGGCAAAGACCCCTGGTAGGAAGAGTTTTCATTTACGCCGGGTAATACTGAAGGATTGGAGGAATCTAAGGAAGTTAACTCGAGTCTGCAATTTTGTCTTCCTTTGACTTACTTCGGTTATTATCAGAGCCTAAAGAGATGCTGCCGCCAGTTCTATAGTCATCGCCGAGTGATAGTCCTAACAAATCATCTCCTAAATCGAGATTTTGAGTAGCTGGTAGAGTAAAGCTCGCCTCATTCGGCTCTACATCTCCGTCCAAGTCGATTAGTGAGAGCTCATTGTTTGAATTGATACCGGTACTAGTGCCCAATGTTCCCTTGGCAATTTTGGAAGCAGCATTCATGTCACCCTTCTTCATGAGCTTGTACCTCTCTACCGTCCGGTGTATGCTATCGTTGATTTCTAGTAGCTTCGCGATTGCTTCATGGTCTTCGGACTCTTCTTCGCACATCCTTTGTATTTTTGGATGGGCATTTTGTAGAGCAGAAGCTAGTTCTTCGTAAACATCACCTTCCGTCATGACATCTCCGGATTTAAACGTCTCGAGACGCTCTTCAAGCAGTCTTGCCTTCTGTTGAACCTTGCCAACTTCTTCCGCTGCTTTTGCCCGGTAATCAGTCTTCTGTCGCGTGTCATACCCAGCCATAATCTTCATTAAGCGGTTAGCCTCCTGCAAATCTTCCGGGCCACCTCTCCTTATTAGTTCTTGTAATTTTGCTGACTGAGCTGCTCTTTCTTCTTCTTCCATCTCTTCTGCAGATTTAAGAGTCTAGTTTTGTCAGTAATCCCTGGTATATTCAGTTGTAATAGACTTACATCACTTGGATTCAATACGGCAGCGTCCTCCCGCCTTACCTCTGGAAACACATATCCCTTGTAGCTCAGTAATCTATGCATGTCTCGAATATACCCCAAGTCATCTTTATACCTTGAGGTCTGACATATTGTGCCCCTCCATTCTTCAATAGCTTCTAAAATCTTCAACTGTACTCTTGTAGGTCGAATTGGCGGCCGTTCGGGGAATCTTCTAACAAGCTCGTTTAGGAATTCTTTCATACTGATTTGAAGTTGAAAAGGATATCCGCAATTCTTTACGCAGATATCGAGTAGATTAAGCGCTAGTAATGAGACGTTCGGATTACGGTGATTAATATAGTTCACAATAGACATCGCCGCCTCTCGGGGCGCATTTCCCTTTTTTGAATTTATTAAATCTGAGATCTCAAGGCTCAAAGCCAAGTTTGGCTCATAGTTTTCGGGACTACACGCCTGTTTAATGTAGCGCTGCAGTGTTGAAGATCCTATATCGGCTGTAGCGCCAAATCGATCGCGAGTTGCCATCCGCGCGGATGTTGCCTCCATATGGAGGCTTGATACTTACTATTTCCAATGATATAATTCCCGATGGATTCGGAGTGGCAGTTGATGTGAAAGTGCCGTACAGGTTGTGTAAGTTGTGATGGTGTGTCCAAAATGTCTGGCGGGGGTGCGAAGAGATTCAATCTTTCCTTGCCTCATGAAACCTGTAAGAGTCATCAAACCATCGCTGTCAACCCCACGTACCAGAAAATACGCGGTGCCCTTGACTCATCACAAGGTATGGTACGCCACAAGAAAAACGGATTCTCATCCAAGCCCGGCAGGAAGAACAATAACAATGCTCCCAGAACAGGGGTTGTTTGCGACGGCAAAGGCCCTTCCCACACCTCATTCAAGGCTGCTTGTTGGGACCTTGGACACTGCGATCCTAAACGATGCTCTGGAAAGAAACTTATGAGGTTAGGCTTAATGAGTGATCTTCGCATTGGACAGAAGCATGCTGGAATTGTCGTTAGCCCGAATGCTAAAAATCTCATTTCACCAGCTGATCGACAGATTATTGAACAATTTGGTGTTGCTGTCGTCGAATGCTCCTGGGCTCGAACTACAGAGGTACCTTGGACAAAGATTGGTGGAAAAAATGAACGACTGTTACCATATTTAGTAGCGGCCAACAACGTAAACTATGGGAAACCCTGGCACTTAAACTGCGCAGAAGCCCTAGGAGCTGCATTCTATATTTGTGGACATACTGAATGGGCTGAAGAGATACTGGGCCATTTCCCATACGGCAAAGCGTTCCTAGAGATCAACGCTTCGATTTTAAAACGGTACGCGGCTTGCACTGATGAGATAGGCATTAAGAATGCCGAAAAGGCATGGATGTCAAAACTTGAAAAAGAATATACAGAACAAAGAGAGGGTGATGAACTCAAAGATATGTGGGAAGGTGGAAACTTAAATCATAGAGCAGCGTTCAGCTCTGATGAAGATTATGATGAAGATAAGGATGATGACGATGACGATGATAACGATAAAGATGAGATTGATGGAATATTCTTGGGTCAGGAAAAAGTTAAAGCAGCTCCTAATTACCAAGATAGCTACGGAAGCAAATCGGAAGAAGTACAGCTGGATAAAGATACATCCTCCGACGATGAAGAAGAAATGGCTGAACTCCGACGAAGAGTACTAGCTTCAAAATCGTTTTCTAATCCTCTCACTCTTGGACAGAAAAAGCAACCCGAGAAGATATCTCGTCCAGTGTCGAGTAAACACTTGGAAAAAAAGCCTGACTCAGACAATGAAAACGATGATCATGATGACGATGAGTTTGATAATCTTTATGAAGCTTCTCTTGTCATGGGTCGCCCAGGAAAGCAGATTTCAGGAAGAAAAGAGCAACCAGCCAGTGTAAGTTTCTCGAAAACTATCACTAGGATGTCTAGAAAGTTATAGCTTTTTGAACCAATGTATATCAATCAGCACTATGATACTTGTGAATTCTCGTTATGTCCATCGTGCTCAGTCAGAATGAGCTATTCAATTAGGCACGCCGACTTCTATCAAAATCACTTCTTTAACCTAGTATCAGCTTGAACAAGTCTGTAGGATGCTGCTAGTATTGCTGACGTAAAGCACAGAACACGTAGTTTTGTAGCGGGCCTGAACTATATATTCATCGTTTCCACCTCAGCCAACGCGGACTTTTGGCAAATTTTGAAAACAGGTCGGAAGTTTTAAGGCTTATAATTAGACTTGGTATTTCACTCAGTTTTACTAAATGTTTAATATTTGTAACAAAAGAGGAATAAAGTAGTAAGGCCTAGATACACAAAGATAACAAATGAATATACTTGTGGTTTTATAAATCTAATATGCTACAAAAACTTGTTATGCCCCAATAAAAGGATACATTAACTACTGCGTGGTGAGTCTAACCTAAAACAAAGTGCCTTTTTGCGCCCTTTGCTCTTGAGATGTTATTCACGTGAATTGAGCGTATGAAATAACTTATACACTTCTACCTCATAAGTGCCGAGTAAACTCGGTTTAAAAGATAACACCACTACGGAACGCCTTGTGGTCTACGGTGGTCCAAGTTTGGGGTTCCGCGAGGCCTTGAACTGACTGGCTCATTTAAGACCACGAACCAAATTACAAAACTTGAACTCAAATTCCATCAGATATAGTCATACACCTATTCTGTCAGCTTGTCAGTGGAGTTGGAAGCAAATAATAACTCATTTGCTCAATTAATCCTCCTCTGTATCCGTTGCTCCGATTTTAATATCTATAGGGTTGAAGCGTTGAGCATGAAAGTAGTAATTAGATTTCGGTGATGTCTTACGTTTTGTCCACACCATCCTCTCGTGATACATGACAATGTATTTCCTTTGTAAGAAAAGTTTGTGTCAGAGACATTTACGCTGTTAGATTAAATAACAAAGACCACGATGAGACATGTTTACTGATACAAGATGGGTAATCCTTGTACATGTACATCCAGTAAAGGGAAGCTGTAAAACCTCTTACCATCGAGGTAAGATTAGAATACCCTTGAAATAAATGTGATACGAAATGTGAACATTTATCTGTTTACTTAAACCGGCAATCTGTGATAAAGGATTTTTGGTATAGCATTCGCGCACGTGTGGTTCGTGTGCGCAAAACTGTTTACTGTCACAACTGCAGGCAGACAGAATGGTGCCAATGGACGATTCCAACCCATCGTACGAATCAACGCTACGTATTGAGAGGATCGATTAAATGATTCTACCCACAAGGATCAAACAAGTACTTGAATTATGAAGACATGACATGGTAAAACATTCTAGACGGTGTGCCAATGTTACAACTATGCCATCTTGACAAGGTTTGTGAACATCTGGCTTTAAGGTACGTCTATTTTTAGCATCAAGATTGTTTCTTCTACGCAGATTGCTACTATGTGCACCCTGTGCTAATTTCAATCCTCATTTTGACTAAGGCTCAAAAATAATTACCTCACCATCTCCCCTTTACCTGGACTGGAATTTCTCGGAATTTCGGATATAAGTTCGAAAATAGCTAGTCTCCACACTGGAAAGAGTACTATATGGATGGAAATCGTTGAGAGAAAGGGACAGAGGGATCTCTTTCGATTCCTAAGCTTGATGAGATGTTGCCATGACCAAAGTCTTCCAGATAACATATACTAGAGGCTAATTGTCATGAGAAAGCTGGTTGGGTACATGGCGTCGAGTCAGCGTTTCAAAATTCACCTTCAATTTTTCTGTTTTTCAATCATGCAAAATATTCTTCACACGAAGCCAGCTTTAGCCGGAAAAGACGAATTCCTCACCTTCGAGCGGTGCTAGAGTAAACGCTCAGCATGATCCGCATATCTAGCATAGCCAAGAAGACTTGCATCCAAATCAAAGATGAAAGCAAACATAAGCAATCTAAAATCTAGGACTTATCGTTAATGACGGTCCCATCATTCTGACACGATTCCTCCAACTCAATCCTACTACAAACCATCACACCTCGACGACCGACTGAGTAAAAGCTATATTTTTAAACGGGAGCTTACCTCATAAATCACCGGCCATCTGTCATTACAAAATTACAAAGCTAGGTATACTTGTCGGGAGAATACTAAGTCATAATTTACAGAGCTTGGAACTTTGATTGTGTGGGGTTATCGCTCTAAGGCGGCTATAAAACTCAAGGTACATGGGTGGCTAGGAGCGGAGCACAAGAAATATGAGATTTTCGATGAGCATGTTGGGGGTTATATTTTTGGGGAAATTCCGACTTTGGAATGTATGCGGGTGCCTAGGCAAAGGTAACAGGCAGTTAACCATGTGGATTTCTATTGACTATATGTTAGACCTTGGAAAGTATGTAGGCCTTATTGGATGGATGGATTACATACAGATAAATCGGGTACAATAATGGAGTACTGACGGTTGAAGGCGCCGTGGTCTGCCTCTTGGTGGAGTTCTTCGGTATGTTTTGAATAGCCTGAGCACATACTACACTTGGGAGGGCGATGCCCCAGACCACATCTCTCCCGGAGAAAATTCCATGGTCAAGGGAGCCTGTCGAAGCACTTGCTACTGTCGGCCTGAAATATGTGGTATGACTCAGGCATACAAGTGAACGCACATAGTATTGATGCTTCGGCGGCGTCAAATAAGGTAGAGATAAACATCATTATCAGCCACCACTTCTGCTGTAGCAAACCCATTCTCATTACCTGTGATATCACAGAGACTGACCCTATCATACCAACAGAGGTATATCTGGATAACTCAGGGCTTTTGAGACGTTGTCCTGAAGAGATATTCACGGATGAGGGTTGACTTGGGATGAAGAAAAAGCCGCCACAACTTCGCAGTTGTGCTTGCTGTCAAAGACGAATTCTTCAACTTCCAGTGGTGCCGGTGTGATCATTGAGTAAGCTCTGCATATCTGGGATAGCCAAAAAGAATCGCCTCCGAATCGAAGTCGAAAGCAACCTCAAGCAAATCTAAAATCGACGACATCTCGACAAGTGTTTAAGCTATCATTCTCACGCGAGTTCTCCACCTCAATCTTACTACACTACCTCGCTTCAAATACCGATAATGGCGTTACTCCAATTGCAATCGGGCATTTGCCACATCAAAAACCGGCCATCTCCAACTACAACATTACGATGCTATGTATACCAGCGAGGAGGAAATGAAGTCATAATCTACAAAGCTCGAGTCTCTGTCTGTGGGGAACTATTGATTTTATAGGGTTAAATCTCTTGAGTAGAGAGGTCACTGTGTTGTGATCAGGCCCAGTTATAGACCACACAACTTTAAATGGCTAGTATTAAGCAAATTTAACCGACAGGAGAAGCGACCTGTGTCAAAAGTACGTCCTCGGCACACAGCAATGACAACACTGGTATATCAGCCATACATGATTATATGACAGTATGACGCAGGTATATCTAATGATATAATTATTGAATGGCTGGGAGTTATTGCTATCGATGGTATATTTTGTGTACCGTCTTTGTGTATAAATACTCGCTGGTAGACCTTTGCACATGATTAACCCATTCCACTCGTATTATCAATAGTCATCAATATAGCACATCTATAATACATATCCGCCTTTTTCACGTTAGACTTAAAGCGCTTTCCTATATCCACCCAAGTTGACTGTTACATCTATTGCGACAATTATTAGACTTCTTATAACCTCGTTATTACAATAAACTGGGACGTAATTTGAGATAAGGAAGAGACTTGTTGGAGGAATGTTGTAACCGATATTTTCGACATCTTTTCGACTTTGGAATGTTTGTGGGCGCCAATACCAAGGTTTCGGCCAATAAGCTAGGAGGGCTTCTATTTTCGATGAGTAAACGGCACTTCCCAGAGCCCTGGACGGTACAAAAGAAGTTGGGCCAAGCTATCATACAGCAATCACGCTCTGTCAAGACTTTCTGGCATTTCTGCACGACCTTCGGGAAGTAGTTGGAAGGAGGCTAGAAAGGTAGGGGTGAATTTTCCGAGGTACACACAAGTTTACAGAACCTAGCTGGCCGGCCTCTCCGAACGCTTCAGAAGGATCACTATATCTTCGGATTCAGCCCTAATATCAGTATTAGAAGAGGCCCACACCCAGTGATTCCTTTGCGATTTCTCCCGGCTGCCACACACCCGCAAATGGCCATCGTTTCGTTGGCTAGAGAGTGGAGTTGATGATGGGCAAATATCTCCTTCAATAAATGAACGAACAAGGACTTGTAAGGAGTGGTACTGTTTGGTGGGATCTGTATGGGAGGTATAGGAGGGGATATACTACTGGTATAGGTATCCTAGGCCTGTAGGTAGAGAGGACCTGCATATCTCACATAGTCATAGACTAAGACAGGACAACAAAATTACAGCTACAGCCAGGATTTGAGCTTTTATCAATAGGATAACATTGTACAGCATACAATCGATCTGATTTCGCGATTATTTTCACCATGCCTCGGTGATGCTCGAAAGATGGCCCATCGACTTCTTTACGACCGCAACACACAACCCGTGGAGATGAATTGGATTGTAAGCCTTATACGTGGACGAATTGAGCTCCCAATGCGTCTCAATGAAAGAATTTACTATAAGGGAGTCAAGCTCATATTACTGCCAAAAGAATGGTGATTGTGTGCTTCATGTACAAAGATTAGCGACACAGATCCCAAGCAACTTAAACTATAGAGCTTGTTTGTTTGTTTATTATTTTACGTCGTGCCAGCGCGCAACACGTTTCCCAAGGCCACATGCCGGTTAGCTCAGTCTAGAAAAACTACCCGACATGCCGACGCTCCTAAGATCTCGGCATAAACTAGCTGGGCCCTGGCCCTTCTATCAGGTACCCCAAACTAAACATACACCAAAAGTACCCTTCCTTTGGGTCTTCTGTTCACTGTACTGCAGACAGAA